TCAATTACATTCTGGTGATCAAGAGAAGACGACTTTCATCACGGAAACAGTTATGTATTGCTATATCGTTATGCCTTTTGGTTTGAAAATGCAGGTGCAACCTTCCAGAGGCTCGTGACGATGATGTTCAGACCAACTGGGAAAAACCATGGAAGTGTACATCGACGACATGCTAGTCAAGTCAAAGAAGGTAGAAGATCATGTCGACCATCCACGTGAGTCGTTCAAAATACTAAGAGAATACAATCTAAAGCTCAACCCGGCTAAATGCACATTCAGGGTGACCTCGGGAGAATTTTTGGGTTATGTTGTCAGCGAGCGAGGAATTGAAGCAAGCCCGCAACAAGTTGAGCCATCCTCGACATTGAGTCACCCAAATCCATCAAAGATGTTCAATGATTGACTAGACAAGTTGCTGCCCTTAACCGCTTTATATCGAAGTGGTCAGATAAATGTCGCCTATTTTACGACGTCCTCAGGAAGAATAAGAAGTTTGAGTGGACAGACCAACATGAGAAAGCACTTTAACAGTTGAAGAAATACATGACGACTCCCCCTCTGTTGGCCAAACCTAAAGACGACGAAGAGCTGCAATTGTACATGGCCGTATCAGAGCATGTCGTAAGTGCAGTCCTGACCAGAGAAGAAGACGGACATCAAACTCTTGTCTACTACATCAGTAAGTCACTAAATGGACCAGAGTCCAGGTACGCACTTTTAGAAAACTTAGTGTTAGCTTTAGTTACCGCTTCCGTTAAATTACGCCCTTATTTCGAATCACATAGTATCTCTGTCCGCACTAACTATCCCATGAAGTCAATCATGAGGAAACCCGAATTAACCGGTCGGATGACGAAGTGGTCAATACATCTGGGGGGCATACGACATCAGATACGAGCCAAGGACAGCTCTCAAGTCACAATGCTTAGCCGATTTTGTGGCAGACTTCAGCCCTAAGTTGCAAGTGGAAGCTGAAAAGGAAACTTGTCTACTTATAGAAGGATCGTCTAGACAGAAATGTGTATTACATACTGATGGAGCTTCAAACATGCAGGGGGCAGGATTGGGAGTTGTCCTAAAGTCACCATAAGGGGGCATCATCCGGCAAGTTGTCCATTGTGAATTCGACGCAACGAATAATGAAGCGGAGTATGAAGCACTAATCTTCGGGTTGAACTTAGCACAAGATCTGGGCATAAAAGCACTTGAGGTAAACTGTGATTCCATTTTAGTTATTAATCAGACTAACGGAGTTTATGCAGCTAAGGATCCGAAGATGACGGCTTACTTACAAGTCGTCATGGAATTGTCTGCTTTTTTGACGAGATCACTTTTCAATAAGTCAAAAGAGAGGAGAACACACAGGCAGATGCTCTAGCAGTAGTGGGATAATACTTAGGAGCCGAATGCAACGACAACATACCATTTATTCACCTGATGAGGCCAGCCATCGACAAACCTAAATCTGTCAACATCGTTGAATCAGATGCAGACAACAACTGGATGAAACCATACAGTGACTACCTGAAGTACAACATTCTTCCAGCTGACAAACGGGAAGCATGGGCACTCTTATCCAAGGTAACGAAATTTTTACTAATTGAAGGGGTGTTGTTTAAACGTTCAATGGAAGGACCATACCAAAGATGCTTAACATCACACGAGGCCAACAATGTTCTCAAAAGTCTGCATGAAGGGGAATGCGGTAACCATGCTGATGGAAGGAGTTTGTCCAACAAAGCACTGAGATTTGGTTATTATTGACCAACTATGAGACAAGATGCTATCATCTACACTCGAGCGTGTTTACCTTGTCAAAGGCACGCACCTATCCACCACCAACATCCCGAAGCACTCCATCCAGTGTTGTCGCTGTGGCCGTTCATGAAGTGGGGAATGGACATCGTCGGAAAGTTTCCCGAAGCTCCTGGCCAGAAGGTCTACATGTTAGCCATGACCAACTATTTCTCAAAGTGGATTGAAGCGGAGCCCTTCCAGAAAATCCAGGATGTCCATGTCATATCCTTCATCAAAAGGAACATCCTGAGCCTATTTGGCATCCCATCAGAGATCGTCTGTGATATTGGGTCACAATTCATCAGTTCAAAAACAAGACGGTTCTGTGAATCGTACAACATCAAACTGGTGATGTCAACACCGAGGTATCCACAATCAAACAGACAGGTTGAATCAAGCAATAAGATCATAGTGGCGAATCTGAAGAAGAGGTTTGAGAAGGCACAAGGAAAGTGGGCCGACGAGTTATGTAACACCCCGGCCCCCGCAAGACTCGAGGTAATTACTCTAGACTCTCTCCGGACCTTTAGTACTGTCCCTACAAACCACTACTAGCCATTTTCGCGCACTTTGTCCTCTCTCGTGCGCGCCCTGAGAAACTTCCTAGGGGGGTCACCCATCCCAAGACTACTCTCGTGCAAGCACGCTTAACTTTGGAGTTGTTAGCTGATGAGGTCCCTTAAAAGGAGATGCACCTCTGTTGGTATGAGTAGTACTATTAATTTGTTTAAATTAAATCTCAAGTGTTATAGTAACACCCCGCCCCAAAGGGCCCGAGGTAGTTACTCCTACACACCCTTCAGACCTCTAGTACTGTCCTCACAAACCGCCACTAGCCTTTTCCACGCACTTTATCCTCACTCGTGCGCGCCCTGAGAAACTTCCGATGGGGTCACCCATCCCAAGACTACTCCCGTGCAAGCACGCTTAACTTTGGAGTTTTTGGCTAATGAGCTCTCTTAAAAGGAGATGGACCTTGTTGGTATGAGTAATACTATTAATCCTCTTAAATTAATCTCGAGTATTACAATCACCCCCACTTAGGATCGCAACGTCCTCGTTGCGCCCTTAAACCAATCTCAATCAATTCGCGGAATCTTGCCCCGCTAAGTGCACGCCCGATATCCAATGGGTCAGCACACTGTCGCAGGGTTGCTCTGGTACAACCTGTAACACCCTGCCCCGTAGGGCCCGAGGTAGTTACTCCTACACACCCTCTAGACCTCTAGTACTGTCCTCACAAACCGCCACTAGCTTTTTTCGTGCACTTTGTCCTCACTCGTGCACGCCCTGAGAAACATCCCAGCTACACGCCTAGCCACGGTGGAGGATTATCTTTCATGGCGCACCCAATTTGATTCTTTTTTGGTCTCCCATGGCTTGGTATATAGTGACAATATTGGGGACATTGGGTGTGGAGAATGACAACTGGGAAAACAATTGTGCCAAGGGGCTGGAAGTTGCTGCAGGAGCTTGACCCGTGCGGAACAAAGGTGGCGGATCAAAGTGTGACAACATGGGTTGTCCAGTCCACGTAGGGCCACCGAACGCTGGCATGCCAGAAGGAGAGGCACGAGACGGCGACTGTGAAGGATCCTGAGATGAAGAAGGCGGCTGCGTGGGAATTGTAGGAGTCCATGTAAACGGCTCCGGCATGCTGAACATATTGTATGAATTAAATGGTGGTAAAGGAAGCCTGGAAGAGGATATGTGGGGCGACATCGTCACGCCTGAACCTTCCGACTGCTCCATAAATTGAGAGGGCACCGAGCTTGAAGTCATAACAGGATGGGTGGTTTCCGGCCGAGTGGACGGCGGCGGTGGCTGCACCGAAGACATGGGCGCCGATGTGGAAGAAGGCAGACTCAACATTAGGGTTAGGTAACCCGTGCTTTGATACCATGTGAAATAATAAGTTTGGAGAATAATGGCTTACCATTATGGTAGCCCTAGGTGTGTATTTATATTAAACAAATAATGGATAATTACACACAAGTCCTTAACTATTAATAATAATAATAACAACACGCTATTAAATACAACATCCAGAACATAACAATATGCTAGTAATACTTTCTATATCCCTTAAAATTTTATCATCTTTGACTTTTTTGGCAATAAATTAAAATTTGAGCAATGATATATTTTCATATGAAGTGAATTTTAATAAAACATTTTCTGAAAATGTTATTTGCTTAAAAAGTCAAAGGTTTATTTGTCATATGATATATTTTCTGAAAATGTTATTTGCTGAAAATATTTTAATAAAACATTTTCTGAAAATATTTTAATAAAACATTTTCTGAAAATAAATTAAAATTTGAGCAATGATATATTTTCATATGAAGTGAATTTTAATAAAACATTTTCTGAAAATGTTATTTGCTTAAAATACTTCATTAAAGTGTAAAATTTATAACTTTTATAAAATTGTACTAATCAAAATCACTTGCCGAAAAGTCAAAGGTGACAAAGTTATAAGGGATGGATGTAGTATATTTTTATCCATTGAAAAAGATTATATACACATCAAATCCTAAATGATGTATTGAAAATATTCTATGATAGAAGCGTTTAGAAGTGAAAACTTAGTAAAATTTAGATTCCTCGGGTTGTAGACAAAAGATAGTTGGTTCATAGTAAATGCTAAAAAAGGCGCATATAGAGAGAGGTTAATACTTATTGGTAGCACTAATTGGACCATCATTTAGTAGTTGCTAGCTGGATATTTGGGTTGCAAAAATAAAAATATTAATTACTACTATTATTTAGAAACGCGACAACAGGATAGAAGGGGACACGGTTTATCTGTCGCGGTCTCATTCTATTTTGAAATGGTTCGGGAACTAAACATGACAAAAATAATGTGTCTTAATTATAACACGACAATTCTAGAACGGGATCGGAACATTGTGTAACGGGCTAACAGAACCATGTTTTTTGCCTACTCTTAGTTGTTACATCTTGATGAAGTGCCCTTAGATTCCTTGCCACTAGATTACTTTTCTTCCTAGTTGTTACATCTTGAGGTGCCCTTAGATTCCTTGCCACTAGATTACGTTTCTCCATACAGTTGAGGATAAGACGAATCAATCAATGTGTGTATTGCTGGGGATATAGAATATTAGGACCCTTTGTGTGTCCCTCTTCTGTAACATCCATTAGTGCTTCTGATAGTCCGATCCGACCGATGAGCATATATTGGGGATGTTACACAGAATAAGTCTTGGGTTTGAATTCCGATAACGACTGATTGTTATGTAAAAATGCACAAGGCTTTTGTAAGTATTTGAATCAGAGTCTTGTTTGCTATCTGTTAGTTTGTAATTAAAGTTCACTTTACATTCTCTTTCTGGTACTCCAAACTAAACTTAATACTGTTGCATGTTAAAGACGGCCCTGAATCGACCGGCATCATAGAGTGAGAAAAGAACAACCAAGAAAGAACTAGGGATCACAGAAATATTCATAAGTATTACGGAGTATTAAATTTATAATAATGGAGTACGTACATTGTAAATATTTATGCATGCACGCCCGTGCGATGTTATTTAATACAGTATTATTATTAACATAAACAATGATCACTTGTAAGTTGTAATGAATGCTAGCGTTGAGCTAGGAAGATATATATCTAGCTTATTGTTGTTAAATAACTATTGAGCGATTCTAGCAAAAGCAATGGTGTCTTTCCCCTTGTGAGCTTTGCGGTAGAAGTGTTTGGCATAGTCAGAGTAAAGGACGGGCTTGTAAATGGGGGTCTCCCCGGCAGCGAGGAGTTCGGGGAGCGGCCCCACAACGTCGGTAGGCCGGGGGTTGAAGAAAACGGGAACGGAGATCCTGTCATTGGTTTCATTGGCCATGACGCGATGCTCGATGCTCTTGTAGCGTCCGTTGCTCATGATTTGGAGGGCGTCGCCAATGTTGATGACGAGGGCGCCCTTGACGGGCGGGACGTGGGACCAAGCGTCGTTTTCGAGCTTGCGCACGTATAGCCCACCGATGTCATCCTGAAGCAGGAGGGTGAGGGTGGAGATGTCAGAGTGGCGGCCAACTCCGACCGTGAGGTCGGGATTGGGACACTTGGGATAGTAATTGATGTTGATCCGACGGGACCCCATGAGGAGAGAAGTTGTGGCATCGTCGATTTCATTGACATTGATAAGGCCGCGCATAAGTGCTTCCAATAGCTTCTTGCTCACTACTTCACAACTTTTGAGGTACTCCAATGCATCATCCCTGTTTTGATTATATATAGGAGTATTAAAGAGAAAGCATGTTAAACTAACAAGAAAATTCTCTAAGTAAGAGTATACCCTATTTCAGTATACTGAATTTTCGGTTCGATAACGGTACGGTATCGGTAAATTATCATGCATATCTCTCAATACAACAAATTATGATAGACTAACGAAATATACAATATCGGTGTTAGTAGCAACATACTTAGCGCTTAATCCATTATTAAAATGTTTTAAATACAAATAATAATCTATTGTTGTAATATTCAATATTGAACAATTATTACTCCGTATTATTTATATATTTAAGCAGTTCAATATGCCACGTATTAAAAAATAAGACATTATTCTTCTAAAATAACTTAAACAATATAGATATAATTAAATGAATAGTGATCTTTAACAAAAAATAAAATTATTTAAACAACATTGATATAAAATCATCATTTATCCCTAATTAATATGATGTTGTGTCAAAAAATAATTTTTTTTGGTTGTACTTTCTCTCTTTCTTATAGTATCTGTTATGTTAAACGTCAACATCCTTGACTGAGATGAGTTTCGAACATGTAACCTCCTCCTTGGAAGTGTTACAGTGATATCATCGAACTACAAAGTGTTTGCCATATGATGTTGTGTATTTAATAAATATTACGAGTAATAGTTTTAAAAAATATTTGAATAGGACTTGTGCACTCTTAAATAAGGAGTACGTGAATAGTACGTGTAGTAACATATTTACTTCTCTTTTTTAAAGAGAATATTATCTGAAATAGGACTAAAAAGGATTGTTATGTTTTTATTTCCAAAATAGGATCAATTACTGTCATGTTTTAACAGTACCAGATTTCAAATATGGAAGTATTTTCTAAACTTGAAAGTAATTACTCCTATTTTGGAAATAAAAAACATGACAGTCCTATTTTAGAATTTTCAAAACTGTTTTAGTCCTATTTCAGGAACTTTCCCTTTTTTAAATGCCCTTACATTTTACCCATATTTTGACTAATTTCTTAGGCCTTTTCTTACATATAGTGACAAATTAAATTAAAAAGTAGCGAATAACTGGTGGCTCAAAACATAAAAGACCAATCATTCCTCAATCTTAAAACGCATGCACTATATTGTCCTAAAAAGGACAACATTAAATTAAACACGCACCTGCATGAAGGAGGCCAGTACAAAGCAGCCTCATCGTGAGAAACATAGAACATACTGAGGTGGTCTTTCCACTCCAAAGCCTCTTCTATCTGGGGAAGAAAGCTGGTGCTGTACCTCACATTGCTGGTGGGAGAGTTGTCCTTGGAGTACTTCTTCTTCTCCTCCGCCGGCTCCCCGAAGAAGCGATAAGTCGCCGCCTTGGCCTTCTCGAGCACCTCCAGAGGAATGCCGTGGTTCACAATCTGGAAGAAACCCCTTTTCTCGGCTGCATCGCAGATGAGACGGGCCACGGCCTCGGGGTCCTCCCAGTTGGCGACGTCTATCACCGGGATGCCGTCGTCTGCGAGGACTTCCATGCTGGAGAGGCGCTCCTCCGGCGGGTGAACGTATTGGGCGGGGAGGGTCGGGAGGCTGAGTTCGGAAAGCCCTTTCACTCCGTGGCCTTGTTTCACCACGAAGTCGTTGATGTCGGACAGAGCCGCGGCGGCTACTGGCGTCGTCGGTGCAGCAGGCATTTTCCCTCGCTAATAAATGATTTTGTGTTTGCAACAAAAAACAATTAATGAAGCAGTAGCAAATTATTGATCAAGCTGGTCTTGTGAACTTAGAAAGAAAGTTCAGATAATTGGGATGACAGATTGACAGCAAAGACAAAAACTTTATACCCAAAACGAGAAAAGGTGAGGAGAGGCAATGATATGGTTTAATTTGATTAAGCTTCCTTTGATCACTCATCGTATTCATATTTATAGTACGGGTAGATATTACTGGTAGCCTGGTAGGTAGCTAGTTGGACCGTTGGAGATGTTTGACTGGACGATTATCAGCTAGGAAGTACGTAGTAAGGTCCCAATTTAATTTACAAAAGTGATTGACACAAAGAGTTAAGGAAAGAATCAAGAAAAGTACCATCTCTGATCTGTCTTTAAGATGCGTTTGGTCAGGGTTTTTAAAAATAAAAATATAAAGTGGTTATTACGGTTCCAACCTTCACAAATTAAGAAAGAGAAAAATGAATCCACAAAAATAGAGGGCGAAGAGATGGATAAAAGAATAAAGCGGGAAAGTAACAAATTAGTAGAGTCTAACGTAAGAGTTTTTGTATTTTTTGAATAACCTAAAAAGAAAAGTGTATCTCATTTAAGAGAGTTTTCATATTACTAGAGCTCGACCTCACCACCACAGCTTGGAACCTCGTAGAGAAATGGTGGACTTAGACATTTCAGCACTCAAGTTCCGTTCCGCATACAACTGCGATTACGTCATTCACATGACAGTTGTCCAGGGCTTACTCACCATAGACGGTTTTTGTACAAAAGATTCCGGATTGTACATGTGTTGCTTCTCTGCGCATTCCAGTACATAAAGGATCAAATATGTTGCTGATGGAGTATATGGGTCGAGACTCCATGACCCACATACTCAGAAGACTAAGAGGAAGGACAGCTGTCACCCAGTGGGTCATCCATTGGCCAAATGACCCTCCATCAGTCAAATAGACATCAATTCAGAATATGATCCAGAAGCCCAGAGAACCGGGGTGCCCCCGTCGGCCAGACATCCGTCGACCAGACGATCGTCGGCCACAGAGAGCTCACAGAGCCAGACTTTCATACTTAGCTAATATATTCGAATGTAATCAGCCCAATAGAGACCTTATATTGTAATGGGCCTCCACCTCAGCCGTTGGCCATGAAAATAGGCAACGACGAGGGGCTTGAGCCCCGGGACACTGCTTCAACCTCTTCCAGCCCTACTTCCTGTCCCCGAGTTGGACCGACCCCTGTGTGTAAAGCCTCGACCTTCAATGTGCTAGCTCACCAAGGGAGAGCTCTGGGTCTGTATCCCGGACAACGGATCGGCCCTACCTTGAAAAAGGCAAGGGGAGGCTACATGAGGACGACGCACGCCCTCACATCAACACGGCCCATGCAGCTTGCGTCGGGACTTAACAGGGCGCCACTGCGGCCGACAAGGACCCCCGCGACGAGGTCATCGCCCAGCTGGAAAGGAGGCTCGTCCAGATGGAGGCCAAGCAGCTGGCCACTACTCTTACGGCCAACACGTCTAGGGATCCCGGCTTCAACGCACTCTTGCACAAGGTCAGCACCTTGGAGAGGGAGCTGGTCAAGGGACGTGGTGACCCCATCATCCAAATCAGAACAAAAACTCCCTTCACTGCAAGGGTGCTCTCGTCCCCAATACCCGAGAAGTACCGGTGGAATGCCATCAAGACCTATGACGGCCGCACCGACCCCATGAGCATTTTAGCCGCTATCAGAACAACATGTTCATAGTTAATTCATCTGATGAATACCTCTTCCGTTGGTTCCTTTCCACTCTTGAGGGACCAGCGTACAAGTGGTTCAACGCGCTGCCCGAGGGACGCGTGGACTCATGGTAAGATCTTGCCCAACGCTTCCTCGCCCACTTCGTGGGAAGGAAGCGCGCAAAGAAACATTTCTCCCATCTCCTCTCCGTCAAACAGCAACACGATGAATCACTCGGGTCTTACATCGACCGATGGATGAAGGAGACCGACGAGGTCGAAGGTGCCGATGAGCGCACCCTACTCTTCCTCTTTCAGGGCGTTCTCCGCAGCAGCCCCTACGCGAGGAACCTCATCACTGACCCACCGAGGTCATACACCAAGACACTCCAGCGAGGGAGCTTGTATGCTGACGCCGATGAACTTCATTTCCACAAGAAGGACAGCCATCACCCGAAGAAGCCCAGCAATGCTCCTTCGGCCCCCGACTAGGGGAAACACACACACTCAGGTTCCAGCGGCCAAAGACGGGGCAAGAAACCATGGCAACCGAGGACGGACGTACCGAGGACACCACTCACACACTCGGTGAGTACCATCCTCGACTATGCGGAGGAGCAGGATCTCATCCCCAAAGATCCCCGGTCGGCCAAGGAAATATACGCCGTCCACCAGGGCGGCACCTACTGCCGCTACCACAAGAACACCTCCCACAACACCGAAGATTGTGTCATGCTAAAGCGAGCCATCGAACGCTTGATCTGCCAGGGGAACTCTCCCAATTTGTTAAAGGTGCCCCACAAAAAAACACTGGGGTGAGCACCGGCAATAAAGGGGGGAATCCTCGATGAAGAAGCGTGAGATCGGTAGGCTCAGCGATGACAACGACTTCAAGGAGCCCCAGTCGAAGAAGTATCGCATCCACACCATCTGGTGAAGTTCTATCAATAATCCGAAGGAGGTGCGACCGACAGATCCCCCCACCCCTTGGTAAAAAGCTCGAAAAAGAAGCTAACGAATGAACGGATTGTTGATAGATTACAACCCTCGGCCATGAGCCACTTATATCAATAGGAACTTGTGTTCCGCTTATTTTTTGTAAATTTAAGTAAAGGATGCCACACAACACAGCACAATAGCACATCGTATCGGCCCCTTAGAGCGAAACGCTCATGTATGGCCGTTGATGTCTGATGGTCCTTGATAGAGGTAAAAGTCTAGAGGGGGGTGAATAGACTTTTAAAGCTTTTTCAACTTTAAAACGTTTCTCCCTCTAAAGAGATGATCTATAATCTTTTGGTAGATTTATAGATGCACAGCGGAAGTCTTTAACCTCTTAGATAAATAGTGTATAACACTTTCTTTGATGGATGAAGTTTGGGCTTTATAAGGTGAGCAGTTGGCTTGGCAGTTGGCTAGAAAGCAGAGAACTGTTGAGGCAACTGCTAGCGAAATACTCAGTGTATGATGACAGTGCACTCAGAATCTTTCTCAGAGTGGGAAGAGCTTTCTGATGATATAACAGGGTAGATTGATAATCAACCTTTAGTGAGAGCAGTGGTCTCAGCAGTTGGGTGGTAACCAAAGAACTGTTGAGGCACCTGCTTAAATAAAAGTGAATGTATGGAAAGATTGATTATATTGTGTTGCTCAGGATGATGTGGGCTTTCTGAAGATGTGCATTGGTCCAAGTAAGTGGGAGTTTACTGGAGCAGTGGTCTCAGCAGTTGGGTGATAGTGAGGGAACAGCTGAGGCAACTGCTGGGTTACCACTTTGAATTACAGTGATTAGTTTGAACAGACTTCTTGGAGATAGAGTTGTGAAGGTCTGGTGAAGTGGAGATGTTCAAAGGAAACACTTTTGCGTGAGCAGTGGGCTTAGCAGACGGATAGTCACCAGGGGACTACTGAGGCAACTGCTATGCCTTAAGTAGGATTTCCTAAAATCTAATGGAACAGACCTTATAGTTGTGATATTATAAAGCTCTTGTATCTCAAAGAAAGTGAGTTATTAAGCAGTAGGATAAGCAGTATGGTCAAGTTAAGACTACTGCTTAGGATGCTGCTGGCAAACTACAATCTTTTATGAGAAGTGTTCAGTGTGTGCTTTGTTGACTGAAAATAAATCAACACACAGTATATCCTGGTTCAGAGGTGGTGTAATCCTCCTACATCCAGTCCCATCTTATTTCAAATTGATTTCACTAATGTATTAAGCCCAATACACTTAGTGCCAATCTAGCCTTGACAACTCTGACCTAGATTGAAGGTGTTTCACGAGGAGTACAACACCACTCCAATCTACTCAATCCTTTAGGTTTTTCTCAATTGATCCAGTGGGGATCAAAAGGTACTCCTGACCTATCTAACCACACTCAGGCCGGGAACAACTGTCCTCCTGAAGTGTTTCCAACAATATCTGATGGGTTTACAAGAAAGTTCTAACCTCCAACTAGGAACTAAACTTCTAGGATTTAACAATGAACACTTGATACTAAGAAGTTTAGTGAAGCAAGAGTCTAAGTAGAGAGTCGTGGATAGAATAGCACTTTTTCTTTTGCTAGATATTTCTTGAATGCTCAATAGAAGTATCTCTCTACTTAGGATGCTCAAGCTTTTGTTAGAAACTTTCGTTTCAGCCTATATTTATAGGCTTCTCCAGTTGTTTAATCTCATCCGTTGGTTAGGATAGATTAATCCTGCTCGTTGATGATTGACATGGACGACTTGTACATTCGTCTTCTTGTGCTGGAGCTATTGATGCGGTGATTCACTTGTCTTCAATAATTTTGCTCAGCCACTGGAACATCTCTTCAAGATAATCCATATGTGTGTCTTCAATGCTCAGGGCCCCAGTACAAATTTGGCATTAAATGCCGGTCAAGCTTGTCTTCAATCATATATATGATTTTCCGGGAAAATGAGATAATACTTATATAAATGAAATTATTCGGGTAGGATTTAAATATCCTATTCAAGGTAGAGTTTACCTTATTGCATTTTGACTTTGCCGGTATAATTTATTTGATACAAGTATTTCTTGTGATTGGCCCAGCTAGTATGAATAAACTAAACCAAATATTTAACTGGTAGGATAACAAATCCTATTAAGGTAAAAACTATTACCTTATTGCATTTTGTGTTCCGGTTAAGTAAATAGATTAGTTTATTTGAAATGTCTGTGTCATCTGATGTAACAAATAAATTTAACTGGTGGGATCTATAAGAGATCCTTTTTTAAGGTAATGGACAGTTACCTTATTGCATTTTATGTTTTCCAGTTATATTTATTTGTTAATTGATTATTTGAGCACGACACTTTTAGATAAGATTTTACTAGCAAATTGGTTGAAGCAAAATACATCACTTTGATTTCCTAATGCTACAAAAGAAGGTGGGGGGATTTGAAAAGCTTTGGCATCATCAGAAACTGTTTATCAAACTATATGGGTCTAACAATTTCCCCCTTTTATGATGATGCCAAAAGAAGACAAAAGTCAAACTTCCTAAAATAGGACATTA